CCCCAAAGAGTTTTTAAATAAAACTCACAGGAAGAAATAAAAATTTAAATGTATAGTTTGCTTGACACTCCAGCTGATAAGGAGCAAAAATGTCCATTCAATATTATCTTTATTTATTCATATTTAGATGAAAAGGGGGATGGTCTTTGTTCTATCTGTCTTTTTTCTTCCAGTTTAGATTAAAGCCAGTTTGTCATAACGAGAAGATTTATGATAGTGTCTTGCAATGAATTTTTTTTTTTTTGACAAGTTATCATGTCTAAGATAAATGTGAATCTAAATTTTATTTGCATTTATTAGGTACGAGGTGAATGGAAAAGAAAGGAGATGGATGAGTTGAGGTACCTCTGCCGCCTTGTTCTGCAGCTTCAAAATAAAACTTCAAAATACACAGCAAAAAATACTTCATAATTAGGTGACAACTTAAGACTAGAGTACAGTGACCTAACTGCACACTCACTTCAGTGCTTGTGATAAAGCAACTTCTCTTTTTCAGCCACTGCAGGCTGAGATGTTAGAGATGTAAAAAAGATTCACACCCATAAATGTTTTTACAAGGGAAACTGATATTTTCTCACTGCCCTGCTGTTTTATGATTTGCCCAGTGTGTGTGTGTGTGTGTGTGTGTGTGTGTGTGTGTGTCTCACACCGCTTCCCTTTGAACAGTGTCAAGAAAAATGCTCCACATGTGTTACTGCATTTAAGTTTTCAAGTATTACTTCTAAAAGGAAATACAGTCCTGTGCATTCATTGTAATTATCATCAGGCGTATTGGATATCACTAAAGTACAGTCTACAAGTAACTGATTTGACAGAATATCACTCTAAATAACTCAGGCGAAACTCAGAAATAACCTAGATGAATCTGATCCAGCAGTAAATGTGCAAACTATGTCCTTGTTGCATCAGAGTAAATGAGAGTTATTTTTTCTTCCCGAGTTTCAGTGATATTTATATCCTGCACAGTAGTCGAGGTATTTAAATGGTTGTAGCAGAAGCTTTTTAAACTGTTTTTCTCTGCAGACAATGACACAGCAAGAAGGAAAAGAAGTCAGACACTTCATCTGAGTGAGAAAGTGATATTCAGGGAGAACAGAAAGAAATTCTCTTCACATCTTCTAGCATTGAGCCGCTGAATCATGTGCACAGATCACTGATTGATTTAGTGGCTGTAAAAAAAAAAGCTTCAGACATCTCTGCTAACTGAGATTTCACTCAGGAGTCCCTGACCAATGACTCGAATCGTTGACTTTTAGGGTGCAAACCTGCAAATGACTGACATCAATATGGGAAACCTGGGCAGAGTCCAAACTCCAACCAAAAATATCCCTTTAAGACCTTCTGCTGTTTGCTTAGAGCCCGTCTCAGTCAATGACACTCCAAGAGCAGACAGGAAATTAGTTTCATTTAATGCCCCAGGATCGGACGGTCTGTATTTTGTTCAGAGCAGCTTGTGTTTATGCTTCATAAGACGTGGTTAAGTCATTTGTAGAGTATCATTAGAACAAAAGTGGGTGGCTAAGGTTGTTATTTCACTGAGGGAGGAGGAAGTTTCATGACACTTCCTTTAGCTAATGGCTCTCTCCCCTCTACTTTAAACCACATCTGAGCTACTTCAACCCACCTTGCTAATATACTCACAAACACCTGGCACACACACACAGGTTTGCACAGCTATCCTTATTAGGACTTTATATTGACTTCCATTGGTTGTGCACACCCTCACCAAACTTTATCCCTATAACCTAAACCATTCATGCCTCACCCTAACCTCACCACAATTCACATCTTACAACTAACCTTAACTAGTATCTCAGAAATAAGGTACTAGTGGGGGGGGGGGTAATCTATCTCACACACACACACACACACACACACACACACACACACACACACACACATACCAGAGAGGAAACGTGAATACGAGCCAGCTGTTAATGAAAGGTTTTGTAAACAATCCACCCTGGCATAAAAGCCAGATGATTACTACTTTGCAACAAAGCAGTGAAGGCCTGGGTTAGCATCGCTAATGCGCGCACACA